AGATGGGAGTCCTGATCGTAGCATTGATAAGGTTAAGCTCTGTTTATTGGCCTGAGGAATCATTTGAAATAACTCATATGCTTCAACCCTTTAGGTCACAAAGTCCGCGGTGTGCCTTCGAATTAAAGATTCTTTCTGCACTGACTATTCTGCACTGATAACATTAATTATCAGTAAGCATATTGTTATATTGTGCATATATTGTGCATGTATTGTTAAGCGACAGAAGGGCTTACTCAGGATGGTGTTTATAAAGCCACTGTAAGCTGCTACATCGTGCTCCTGCAGAGCATTCATTTGCTAGATATTATTGAGTGGTCATACAATGATGTTTGATGACAATAAAAATGTCAAAGATCAACAATAAATTAAGATTTACCAAAGTCTTCTGTTAAATGTATCTAAGATTACCAGGAACAAATATATAAAGCAGTTAAAAGCTAATTATTTATGTATTTATTGGTTATTAATAATTGACATCTTCTCTATTTCGTGTCATTCACCTGTGGTAAAGTGATTGTTGCTCTACTGGTTTTCAAATATTAAACAAAACATAAAAGAAATGTAGCTTTTTTTAAAGATTCAAAAAGTACACAGGTTAGAATAATGAAAGACACAGTTTGATAACTGAAAGCAAGATGGTGACTCTGTTATGTAGAAAAACAGCTGCTCGCATTCCCATCCCTACAGTGGTAAACATTAAAAACCATGTCACTTTTTTTATTTTTACATTTGATTATATACACACACAAACACACACACCATATAGTCTGAATATAGTAATTTTTTTAATTAGCCTTGAAAAGTTATTTTTTCCATGTAAAGGTTTGAGTTTTTGTGTTTGGTTGTCATTTATAATGTTGTTCTTGCATCACAAACCATTTCCATGTGCACTTTGCTCCTTCTGCAGTTATAAAGAGACTTTAGACGCTCGCACAATCACAGTTTTGTAAAGTGACCTGCGACCAGGAGAATGGCGAAGACGCAGAACCTCATTTTTGCTGGATTGTTAATATTCAGCTCAGCTCAGTGGGCTTCAGGTGCAACAGGTAAGAATCTATCAAATATTTCTTTTATTAAGTGTCCATTTATGAATAAATATATTCCAAAGACAACTGTAGACACGTATCACAAATATTAATGCATAATGTATCATAGCATAAACCATGCCATAAATGTTGCTATATCTGTAAATTAGGCCAAATAATTTTAAGGATGATTATAAAAGCAGAATTGTTTTTGTTCATTTTTTGTTAAATAATGTATACAAAGACTGTGACATATTTAAATTGAAGGAGTGTCAGTTCATTTATGTGACTTCTAACTACTTTCTTCTTAATTCCTTGAGATTTGATGGATGAACACTCATAATTACATGATCAAATTCCCAACTCATTGTCTTTCATCATAGAGGATGAACTTTATGCTGATTACTGGAACAACAAAGCGAAACAAGCTCTTCACAATGCCATGAATGTTCAGAAAAGCGTGACCCGAGCCAAAAACCTCATCCTTTTCCTGGGGGACGGTGAGTCCTTTCTACTATTAAATGCATTTTTCTGAAACATCTGGTTATGATCTGTTTTACCTCGGATTAGATTAGTTGTATTGCAAGGCAATATAGCTGAACGTCAGTGTAAGTTTTATATTATCATTTTCATAACATATCCAGTTTGTTTTGCCTACTTTTCCTAAAAACAAAAACAATGGCTTTAAAAATTCTACTTTGAGATAAAAGAGCATGTAGAACAGAACTCATTGACCAGCTTGGGTTGCTTGGGAAACTAATTCTCCATGTGCCATTTAATTGATGGAGATGCAAATGAAGTGATGCCATACAATGTTTTTTATATTCAGATAATGTGACAATATATTATTCATCATTCCGAGATAATCTGTATGACTTTGGTAAAGAAAATATCTTCAGAGTTATGGAGTTCTGATTNACTGCCTGTGCAACCTCTGTAGGGTCCAGGTAGCGCTTCATGCTAACAGTAGTGACAGTGTCCCTAGCCAAATGCAAAACTGGTGGAAAAGAGTCAGAAAAGATGAGGAGGAGAAAAAATGTCAGTGACCTCCACCCCTCTAGTGCACCTGTTGTTCATTTCATTAACACCAAAACAGCTGAAACTGATTAACAAACCCCTCTGCTACTTACCTGACCTAATCAATATCCCAGAAGTTAAATTAACTTGATGCTATACTGTGATTACAAAGTCTTCCTTTATTTTTTTAGTAGTGCAGTTGAAACATACTTTCCAGTCACCCACCAACCTAGACTGCCAGTCAAGAGGCACTGTCTACACTTGTCACACAATGTTGAAGAGGTTTGTCACCACAAAAGCCCAATACAGAGATCCAGAAACATTGGATACTCATGATAAATCCCAGGTTGGTCCTGGACTGCAAGGCTGAAGACTTTACAATCTCCTCAGTACAAGTTATCAACTTCCCACTCCTACAGTAAACAATGTTAATGAAGCACTGCTACCCCTTCCAGGAGCTTGGACAATTTGCTAGATTCACTTTAAAGCAGACCAACAGTTTTTTCAGTAGATGCTCACTACTAAGGGCCTATTCAGTCTGTCTTGCTTCCTCCACTTTCCTTCATGTGGTAAATGGTAGACTGGTCTGACCTTCTCTTCATCCCGAGTGTCCAACACATGCAGTTAAAGGTCAGAACATAAGACTACAAAGCAAATCATTTACTTCTAGCCCTGGGCATTCTTGTGCCATGTGCACTGATGAACACCCTTTTGTTTAAACTTGGAGTTCATGACTAGCACAAATGTCCGAATCAAACATGGGTCATGTTCTCCTCTATCTAAAGATAGAGGGATTCATCCCACACACCCACCAGCGTAAACCACTACACAGGACAGCTGAGCTTGAAGGGAGACAAACTCAGACATTGGCCTATCCTGTGAGGCACACCAGACAAGACAACGTCTTTCAAAGAGCTGGGTGCCAAAGCCCATACTGTGCCTTGAGATGAGTCTGACCATTTGTTACCAGTGCTGTTTAACCTCATGCACAAGCCCATGCTCCTTACCCCATCGTGAGGTGATATCCACATCCCCAGAGCTAGTTTAAGTGATTATGGATAAGGTGCCTAAGGCTTCTACATTGGACTGCTGCCCAGTCCTTTAAGCACAGGTCTCTCATGATTCCCCCTGTAGGTGGTGGGCCCAATAGGAGATTGCCAAGTTCGGCTTGCCCCATCAGGGTTTTACTGGGACTAACCAAAACACTGGGCACTTGCCGACGAGAAGCGATCCCAGCCCAGCTCCTCAATCAGGTCCTGGTTCCATTGTTCGAGGGGATGCCACAGGCTTCGATTGTCTGGCATCTGGCAGGTTTTCCAACTGCTCTTTCTATTTCAGTCAGAGCCTGTTTGCCTATCTGTCTGAATAATAATGAATGTTTGAAGTTAAATTTAAATTTTTGACACTAGGGACCTGTAAGTTAGAGGCCTGAGTGGGACAGATTTTCAAGTCCCGCGCCTGCCCGCTCCTGCAGTATTTAGTCCCGCTCCTGCAAAGAATTATGATTTTCAGTCCCGGTCCCGGCCACACCTGTAATAGTTTGTCCTGCTACCGCCTGCAATTCCCGCATGATTCCGACGTTCGCCTACTGCTCAAGGCAGTCACCCTTGTCTAGCACCCCTAGTGGCCATAAACGCTGCAGCACTGTCACAAAAGTCAACAGTCAGCCAGCCTCCTGTGTGTTCTTCATCATCATCACCATCATCACGACCAGCAGCGTAGCTAAGGAACAAACTCCTTACACAAGATTGACTCCTGTTTATCCTTGTGCATGATCCTTTTCACTTTTTCTTTTTTTGGCCTCATCAGAAGGTTTAAACTTTTTCCTTTTCTCAGCAATGACTAGTAGTTGAGCAGGCAGAAAAATAGTACAGCAAACGCCTTTGTGTCATGACTATATAAGAGCCTGTGGCCATAAAGCGATATGTTCTTCCAGGTCAGTTGACCTGACCAATGGCGGTGCGTCTTCTCCCAACTTACGTAGTCAGTATTTCAAGATGGGAGTCCTGATCGTAGCATTGATAAGGTTAAGCTCTGTTTATTGGCCTGAGGAATCATTTGAAATAACTCATATGCTTCAACCCTTTAGGTCACAAAGTCCGCGGTGTGCCTTCGAATTAAAGATTCTTTCTGCACTGACTATTCTGCACTGATAACATTAATTATCAGTAAGCATATTGTTATATTGTGCATATATTGTGCATGTATTGTTAAGCGACAGAAGGGCTTACTCAGGATGGTGTTTATAAAGCCACTGTAAGCTGCTACATCGTGCTCCTGCAGAGCATTCATTTGCTAGATATTATTGAGTGGTCATACAATGATGTTTGATGACAATAAAAATGTCAAAGATCAACAATAAATTAAGATTTACCAAAGTCTTCTGTTAAATGTATCTAAGATTACCAGGAACAAATATATAAAGCAGTTAAAAGCTAATTATTTATGTATTTATTGGTTATTAATAATTGACATCTTCTCTATTTCGTGTCATTCACCTGTGGTAAAGTGATTGTTGCTCTACTGGTTTTCAAATATTAAACAAAACATAAAAGAAATGTAGCTTTTTTTAAAGATTCAAAAAGTACACAGGTTAGAATAATGAAAGACACAGTTTGATAACTGAAAGCAAGATGGTGACTCTGTTATGTAGAAAAACAGCTGCTCGCATTCCCATCCCTACAGTGGTAAACATTAAAAACCATGTCACTTTTTTTATTTTTACATTTGATTATATACACACACAAACACACACACCATATAGTCTGAATATAGTAATTTTTTTAATTAGCCTTGAAAAGTTATTTTTTCCATGTAAAGGTTTGAGTTTTTGTGTTTGGTTGTCATTTATAATGTTGTTCTTGCATCACAAACCATTTCCATGTGCACTTTGCTCCTTCTGCAGTTATAAAGAGACTTTAGACGCTCGCACAATCACAGTTTTGTAAAGTGACCTGCGACCAGGAGAATGGCGAAGACGCAGAACCTCATTTTTGCTGGATTGTTAATATTCAGCTCAGCTCAGTGGGCTTCAGGTGCAACAGGTAAGAATCTATCAAATATTTCTTTTATTAAGTGTCCATTTATGAATAAATATATTCCAAAGACAACTGTAGACACGTATCACAAATATTAATGCATAATGTATCATAGCATAAACCATGCCATAAATGTTGCTATATCTGTAAATTAGGCCAAATAATTTTAAGGATGATTATAAAAGCAGAATTGTTTTTGTTCATTTTTTGTTAAATAATGTATACAAAGACTGTGACATATTTAAATTGAAGGAGTGTCAGTTCATTTATGTGACTTCTAACTACTTTCTTCTTAATTCCTTGAGATTTGATGGATGAACACTCATAATTACATGATCAAATTCCCAACTCATTGTCTTTCATCATAGAGGATGAACTTTATGCTGATTACTGGAACAACAAAGCGAAACAAGCTCTTCACAATGCCATGAATGTTCAGAAAAGCGTGACCCGAGCCAAAAACCTCATCCTTTTCCTGGGGGACGGTGAGTCCTTTCTACTATTAAATGCATTTTTCTGAAACATCTGGTTATGATCTGTTTTACCTCGGATTAGATTAGTTGTATTGCAAGGCAATATAGCTGAACGTCAGTGTAAGTTTTATATTATCATTTTCATAACATATCCAGTTTGTTTTGCCTACTTTTCCTAAAAACAAAAACAATGGCTTTAAAAATTCTACTTTGAGATAAAAGAGCATGTAGAACAGAACTCATTGACCAGCTTGGGTTGCTTGGGAAACTAATTCTCCATGTGCCATTTAATTGATGGAGATGCAAATGAAGTGATGCCATACAATGTGCATTATATTCAGATAATGTGACAATATATTATTCATCATTCCGAGATAATCTGTATGACTTTGGTAAAGAAAATATCTTCAGAGTTATGGAGTTCTGATTAGAACAGAATCGGTGCAATAAGGTGTTTTGTTTATAACAAATCTTTCATCTAAAAATGATAGATGTTTGGTCTGTAACCCTGCTCTAGCTGTCTCAGGTGAGAAGACACTTCATCCACCTTCCGTTTGTGCTTTTAAAATGCACAGAAAAATAACAATAGAAATATCTCCAATTATGAACCAATTTTATGAGTGCTATATTTTATTAAATATAATCATAGTTTTTACAGTGACTGTTAAAAACACAAGTATTTGTTTGATTAGAAAAAAACGTTTGCAGCTCTCAGAATATGCTGTATAATATTTACAACCTCACATACATCACTGTCTGTGATTGTAAATACCCTGTGTGTATTACTGTGAAGTAATTTCCACATCAGCAGAGTGTTACAAGGTTCAAATAGTAAAATGTCGACCTTTGATCCTCTGATTCTGTATCCAGGAATGGGAATACCAACAGTGACAGCTGCCCGGATCCTCAAAGGCCAGATGGAAGGAAGATCGGGAGAGGAAGGAGGTTTAGTTATGGACACATTCCCGAACGTTGCCTTGTCCAAGGTCACTTCTCTTCAACTGCACATTTTCACTGCTTAGGAGACATTCTATATCTGAAAAAATGTAGCTGTTGCACAATAGTGAAAGCCAATCCTCAGCTAATAATCTCTGACAGTGAAAGCTTGATGAATAGATAAGATTTAAAAATTTCGAAACAAAATGTCATAAACAAAAAAATTCCAGCTTTTTTAAACTGTCAAATGCTCATAAAATACATATATATACCTGATGTTTTCTAAATGTCCACCATAAAATAGTAGCTCCATGTCTGCATGTGTCAGGGTAGTTTTGCTCTATATCCTAAAGTTTTTATCCAAATTGCAAATATGATTTTTAAATCATATGATATTACTGTTTCACCATAAATCCTATATATTATTATCTGATAAATTAACATTGGTATTGGGATTGCTTTGGTTTCACTTTTGGGCTGTTAGTTTTCTAGCTAGTCTTTACAGGCTAAGCAAAATTATTGAAGAAATGTACCCATAGCTGAATTTTATTTTGTAAACATGTTATACTCTCTTCGTTATATTTCGACCTTGGTCAGACAGATTAATCTGTTTTTTTCAATACACAAGGCAGGGCAAGGTAGTACATGTAAATTTTTGTAGAACATTTAAGAAGCAAGCCAATTCAAAAATGAAATAAGGTTTCTGCATCAATCTGAAAAACTTAACTTTAGGGAACAGAAAAGCAAATTTTTTATGTAAGCAATTTTTTTTTTTTCAAAGCAGAGGAAATGTCTTGTGAATTAAAAGTAATACAAAAAAAAAATCCATCCTTATATGAATGTAATTTTAAGGTTTTGGTTTTTGTTGTTGCAATATTTGATGCTTGCAGACCTACAATGTGGACCAGCAGATGCCAGACAGTGCTGGCACAGCAACGGCATACTTATGTGGAGTGAAAGCCAACTATGGGACCATTGGAGTCACAGCTTCGACCCCAAGGGGTAATTGTAGCGCTGTTTCTGGTAATGAAGTCACATCTATTCTGCACCGTGCCAAGAAAGCAGGTAGGCACTATTATCTACAAAGCTTAACCACCATGACGGCATCTTATTTTATTAAAGAAAAATTGTGTAGATTGCTGCTGTTACATCAGTCTGAAATCTATGTGTTTTAGGAAAATCGGTTGGAGTTGTCACAACAACGAGAGTGCAGCATGCCTCCCCTGCTGCCACCTATGCTCACTCTGCTGACAGAAGCTGGTATTCTGACTCCGACCTCACAGAAGAGGCTCTTGCAAATGGCTGCCACGACATTGCTTACCAACTGGTTCACAACACTGAGATAGATGTGAGAATTTATTAATGCATGATTTCATTGTAATTATCAGTGGTGTCAAAAGCACACACATTTGTCACTTAAATAGAAGTATAGATACTGTAGTTTAAAAACACTCTGGTAAAAGTTGAAGTATGAACTTCACCTCTTTACTCAAGTAAAAGTGAAAAGGTATGTGCTCCAAAAACTACTTAAAGAATAAAAGTATAAAGTAACTTTAAAAAAAAAACAGTCAGATGCCACTATATGAAAGCTCAATTTTTCGGCTATTTCGAAAAATGATTGAAATAGGGCCAAGGATGAGGGTGGTCATGTTGGTCTCCGTCTCCCAACATGCTCTGGCCTGTGTCCGAGCTTTCAGACATTTCAACATCTCTGAATCCGAGACTTTAGCATGGCATAGACAATTCACGGTTGCAGTTTGAAGAACACCTGCTTGCTTCTGATGACTTCCTTTAGCTAACCAATGAATGTTTACATTATATGACTCATCCAATTACACTAGTTTTCAATAGATATGGATAGCGCAAATTATCTGCATTGGATGGCGCACACGACATGAATAAAATATTTATAAACATTATTGTTTTACAAATGTAAGGAATAGAAAGTACAGATACTTGAGTGAAAATGTAATGAATAGAAGTCAAAAATAGGAAGAAAAATATGTAATGGAGTAAAGTACAGATACCTAAGTGCTTCAAAATTTATCATATGGCTTTCTAGAATTTAAACATTCAAAACAATGCACTTTTAGTTCTTATCTGTGATCGTCTGTCATGGTCATTATTTCATTCATATCCATTCAATTCATTTTATCCCTATCATACAAATTCACTACAAAGGTAGTATTATGCCTCATCATAAATTAAACCAATCTAATTTATACAACAAAATATGAGTTCAGCCAATAGTTTAAACAGATTCAAAGTCAGTTACTGAACAAACAGTCCAGTTCTCAACTCTAATATAAAACTGTGCAGCTAGGTAGGTTTAAAATGTCAACACCAAGAAAAGAGTTTACTATCTAAGAAGCTTAACTACAAATGTTTACTATCTAAGAAAATCCAACATTGTGTCTCCAATTTCTTGGAGACACAGATTTTGCTAAACTTTCTCCTCAACAAACCCTTGTTGTCAGGAGAGAGTTAATTAATAAACAGCATGTTTGCAATGTTTCTTACAAAAAAGAAACCTCCAGAAGAGAACCAGAATTGTTCAATAAAAAGGAAAGTAGTAATGGCAGTAGTTTTTTTTTTGATGGTTTAGTCAAAGAGAGAAACGCTGATTAACTCTGAGCTCAAACTTCAGTCTGAGGGAAAGATCTGTGTTGGGAACATGTGGAATAATTGCATCTGTAAAATATGATGGAGTTTGAATACTAAGGGCTTTGTAAGTATGAACAAGATTTTTGTATTCTAGAAGGTCTTTCAATTATTAATGAGTAAATTTTCCTTAAAACATTTATTTCTTAAATTAGTTTCAGTAAGTATAACATTACTCAGATTAATCAAACACAGACCAATGTTTTCTAGCCTTTACTTTGTTCATTTTATTTTTCTGCTTACAGCAAATGAAAAAAGAAATTTATAATTGAGTATTAAACCAGTCATTAGACCAGAAGTTAATTTACTTTTAATCTGATAAGGGAGCATCATCAGAAGGCTTAATTTGTTGAATTTGACTTTACAGTAAGGGAAATGGATGGTATACTTGCAAAAGACTTAGCATTTTAACAATTGTGCAAATATTCTTCCTCTCTTTTAATGCAGGTCATTCTTGGTGGAGGTCGTGCATATATGTTTCCCAGAACCGAAAAAGATCCTGAGTATCCGGATGATACTGGTGACCGGAAAGATGGAAAGAATCTTGTGCTTGAATGGGAAAAGAACAAGACAGTAATTTTGTTTTTGTTTTTATTAAATAACTTAAAGTCAGGTATTCAAAAAGAAATGTATAACCCTCTCTGAGATTTGCACTTTTTAATTTTTGTTTATGGTACTTACAGAATGCAAAATATGTTTGGAACAAAGCTGATTTTGATGCTGTTGACCCGCGAAAAACAGATTTCCTACTAGGTAAGCTGTTATTAATATTCTATATACAATAAAATAACCACATGATTTGCCTTAAGGTCTTACAAGATTGCAGTAAATACAGCAAACGATTGAAGGCTGTTTACATTGACATAACACCTACAAAAATACGGATCTAAACCTGCAAAATAAGTATTACCACAAATTGCATAACAGACCAATACTGTGGTTAGCTACTTATGCTGTTGTGTCTCTAACACCAATTGTGTTTGAAACACTCAAGATAACCTTCTTTTAAACCCCTTCAGCCCATCCTGAAACTCTTGGTAAAAAAATGCAGAAAGTAGTTTTCTTATGGCATAAAGCCATGGTGCTGCATTGTGTACAACTTGGTTGTTTTCATCCCACTATGTAAGGTGTAGCTGATCTTATACAAGTTATCAGCTAATGATTATACTATATATATATATATATATATATATATATATATATATATATATATATATATATTATTATTATTTTTTTTCCCCTTTTGTCAACATTAGCTAGGTAAAAACTAAGTATTTGAATGCTGTTATTCTTACACAATAAACAAAACCTGAAAAAGGTACTTACATTTCATTCATAAGCTACACATTTAAAACCACACTGCATACCTTAGCTTTGAAATCAATTTAAAACTCTCTTTGCATTCAGGTTTATTTGAACCCAAGGATTGTCGTTACGAGTTGCAACGGGATCCATCCATGGACCCCTCGCTTACAGAGATGACGGAGAAGGCAATCAGAATTCTAAGTAAAAATCCCAAAGGATATTTTCTGTTTGTGGAAGATAAGTATTACACACGCTTCAGATTTAGAAACCTTTTCCATTAGTGTTGCTTTTGAATTTTGAAAAACTGTTCTTTGTTCCATAGATTTTAAAGTCCCATATTTTATATGTGTTATGACTTGCATTTATTATAAACACACAATCAAAGACTCCACATTTAAACCTTCAATCAAAATGTATTCTCTGAGAGATACGATCCAGTGCTATTGAAATTAGCCAATGTTTACTTAAAGGAATTGATGAGAATTATTGCCTTAGCTGACAAATTCGATACATCAGTCTGCAACAATTAGTCCATTTTTAAAAACCTTTAAAATATGTCAATACTTTCTAAGCAAAATTAAGTGTATGATGCTTTTAACAGATGTCCTGTTTGATTTAGATGGTGCAAGAAGAAAATTTAACAAGATTTCTAGTCAGACTTATTGCCTAATATACAAGAAAAGTGTAAAAAAAAAACAATGAAATATGAAATGTTAAATTAAACTGCTATAATGTATAATGCAATAATTGTTCTCTGTATTTATAACATGGGAAGCTTAATGGTGGCAAGACACCATTTTCTCTATTTCATGTGTAAATCATTTTCTTGTAAATTTGAACATATTTTCAAGCTGCATGATGCAGATGTGTCAATGGCCCAAATGCCTTAAAAAATATAATATATCACTGGGATATTTCTTAGAGAAAAGTTATTCAAATTGAGCAAGTCTATTTTTGTCTGAGGTCCTTTTGGACTAGCTGGTAGCTACAGTTTGTTGTACCAACTAATTTTGACACATAGAACAAAGACAATGTGATAGTTTTCCACAATATCTTGCAAGACCTCAACAGAACCTCAAACATGTAGCTACTATTATTCTTTTTTAATTGAAAAGAT